ATATATAACTTTTAGACTGATGATTTCAACAGTTAAATAACAAGTAACAAAAAAAAAAAATATTCAAGCAATCAAAAAACCATTTTTGAATATTTAAAAATCTCCTTCGAAACGTAGCTTAATAATTAAACACAATATTCTCTTACATATATATATGTAAAAAATAATAATAAAAAATAAAAAATAACAAAATTCACAGAAACCTATCTATTACAGTTATATTTAATAATATAGTTAATATTTAAATGACCATATTTGGTAATATGAGAATTCAAAACCTACTTTTAATATATATAACTTTCAGACTGATGATTTCAACAATTAAATAACAAGTAACAAAAAAAAAAATATTCAAGGAATCGAAAAACCATTTCTGAATATTTAAAAATCTTCTTCGAAACGTAACTTAATAATTAAACACAATATTTTCTTATATATATATAACAAGGAGCGAAGAAACTCATTCATTAGTCGTGTTATCACACCGTGAGCACGAGCTGCTCAGCTGGAAGAGTAAACACAGAGTGTTACAGATCTCGAACTTGTATCGATCGAGATAACAGGTCAGTCCACTCTTGCTGCCGTTTCTTCCAACCCATCCCATTTGCATCGAACTACATAGACGTAGGAATTCTTTCATTGGCTGAGATGATGAACTCTTGATAACGCTTGTGACAGCGAGGAGAAGCCTGTGATCTACGTCTAAACAAACTATATGCGTCGAAATTGCGCGCAACAGACGAGCAAACATTGTAAATTTTACGAGATAACTTGCTCGGATCCAAGATGTGCGTCCATCTTGGAATTCTTGGATTTTGCGGCTTGCGTTCCGATCAATCTTTGCCACGTGGTTGTCTCACAATGAGATTCAGATTACTTCTCATGATTGTCTCTCGATGAACGAATAGAAATTGGAGATTAGGTTACGTTAAGGGATAATGAAAGAAAATATGAATCTAATCTAAAGAAATTTAATTAAACGTGTATTTGTTTTTTCTGATTACAGTTCAAGCGTATGCTGAACAAAGAGCTGTCCCATTTCTCAGAATCCTCGAAATCCGGCAACCAGATATCGGAATACATATGCAGCACCTTCCTTGGTAAGTTTTTTTTCAAAATCTACTTGGAATATTATCCCTGTATTATTGTGTAATATATGCTCCATGTATAAGCTTATTCCTTCGATTAAAATTGAAAGAAGGAATTTTTAATTGTTCGTTTGTGTAACCAAATACGAGACGAGACGTAAAACTAATAAGAAAGGAAGGGGGGGGAGGGGAAAAAAAGAAGATAATTTGCCACTTTATCGAGGCCAACACCGGGAGCTGATTTATCAGGGACAATAAGAATAACGTAGACTTTCTTACGCATTAAAAGCCCTTGAAACTCCGTAAATGCATACACATGTTCCACGATCATTCATCCCATTTCTGTGCTCTTTGTCTGCCGCTCAACTCCTTTTTGCTCGTGAAACGAGGAATCGGCTTCTTATTTACGCGGACTGCCTTCTCTTTGTTGTTGCAAAGATGCAGATTAAGATTACTTCTCGCGCGTTTATTATTTATAAATAAGTTGAAAAATTGAAGAATAACGGTCTATATTTCTCAATGGAGTAAAATAATCGATAATGGAGTTCGAATTAATTAATTATGCACGTGTTGGGATAATTGATTAAAATTTTCGAAACGATGATTATTTAATTATACTTTCTATCATTTCGTCATATTAGATAACGTTATAAACCATGATCAGTATTATTTTCACCATGTTTCTTAATAATTCTATGTGTAAATTATTATTTCCCCGATTACTTGAATGAAAATTAATTAAACAAGAACAACTTTCAAAAAAAGAAAAAAAAGAATAATCCCTTCAAGAGGCTGAATATTTCTGTTTCTCATTATTATATAATTGTGAAAGTAACTGAATGTAATCAAGAAAAGAGAAAAGAAACAAATCATCTTGATGTAATCATCTTTGACCATTTTGCTAAAATAATTTTCTAACTATCCACTATATTATTATACAATACTATAAAGGAATAAAAAAATAAATTATTTTGTCATTCATCATTTTGCTACTCTACTATACTATACTAACTGTAATTATTAACTTGCTCTACATTATACTAAATATTTTTTTTGAACACATTTAATAAAATAATTTCCTAATTCTCCATTACATTATTATAGAATACTATAAAGGAATAAAAAAATAAATTATCTTATCATTTTGCTACTATACTATACTAATTTCTTAATTCTTTTAATAATTTACATTATTATGTAATATTATAAAGGAATAAAAAAATAAATTATCTTATTATTCATCATTTTGCTACTATATTATATTATACTAAAATACTATAATTATTAACAATGCTCTATACTTTATACTACATTATACTAAATATTTTTTTTAACACGTTTAATAAAATAATTTTTTATTCTCCATTATACATTATTATTTAATATTATAAAGTAATAAAAAAATAAATTATCTTGTCATTTTGCTACTATACTATACTACTGCAATACTGTAATTAACTTAATAATGCTCTATATACTATTCTATGTCACATTTTTCCAGTATATTTAACAAAATAATTTTCTAATTCCCTACATTATTATACAATACTATAAATTATATATATATATACATATATACTGTAATTACTATCAATATACTAAATATTTCTTTCCAATGTGTTCAACAACAAATCATCCGTTACTTTTATTCACAGACAAGCAACAAGAGTTGGACCTACCCTCCCTGCGGATCGAGGATGCGGTTGCAGCAGCCGGAAGTACGGATGCGAGGGTGGCAAAGAAGAAGGACCGGGCCCAAAGAGGCCCGGCCGCGATGTCCCACATAAGCGGTGTGAAGCGACCCCTTACGCACACGAACAGCTTCACAGGGGAACGTGTACCGCTTCACGGCGTGGAGACACCCCACGAGGAGGAGCTCGGCAAGGTAGGAATAGTTTTACTTCCTTTGATATCGTTCGATGGGCTACAAAAGATGAGTGAAACGTGTCTCGCTTTAATTCTGATGATTAATTTTTATTTGACGAAAAAACTAGATACTATAGTATCTATTATACTTATAGCACTATATAGTATCTACTATAATGTTAATTCTGATCATTAATTTTTATTTAACAAAAAAACTAGATACTATTAGTAGATATTATCTACTATATCTATAGCACTATATAGTATCTACTATAATATATTATAGTATATAGTATAATATTAATTCTGATCATTAATTTTTATTTGACGAAAAAACTAAATACTATAGTATCTACTATATCTATAGCACTATATAGTATTTACTATAATATATTATAGTATATAGTATAATATTAATTCTGATCATTAATTTTTATTTGACAAAAAAATTAGATACTATAGTATCTACTATATCTATAGCACTATATAGTATCTACTATAATATATTACAGTATATAGTATAATATTAATTCTGATCATTAATTTTTATTTGACAAAAAAATTAGATACTATAGTATCTACTATATCTATAGCACTATATAGTATCTACTATAATATTAATTCTAATCATTAATTTTTATTTGACGAAAAAACTAGATACTATAGTAACTACTATATCTATAGCACTATATAGTATCTACTATAATATATTAGAGTATATAGTATAATATTAATTCTGATTATTAATTTTTATTTGACGAAAAAACTATATACTATAGTTTTAACTACTATAGCACTATATAGTATCTACTATAATATATTATAGTATACTATATATATTGTAGTATGCTATAGTAGAAATTTGTAATTTTAATATATTTCCACGCACACGCATACGATTTGAATATTAAAATTATGTATTTATAAATTTAAGTAATTGTATCATAGAGTTAGTGATCAAGAAAAATTGGATAAATCTAAGTTTGAAGATAAATTATAATTATTCTAATTTTAATCAACGATATTATTCTAAGAATCACGATTTGCTCGATATTATCATTGATAATCGTTTTTAATCGTTAAATAACTTCTCGTGAAATGAATCATTCGCATGTTGCGTAACACGGTTCCCAGAACGCGAAACAGAATGTCGCGAAAGCGAAATTAATTAACGGTACTCTACACTTTCTACTCATCCGGAAGGCCTCGATTACGGATTCAGTTGTCTCCCCAGCAAGTGTTCAAAACACACTTGCACAACCGGTTTCAATGTTTGATAGAGTGGGAAATCGCATAAGGGGTTACTTCAACCTTCTTCTTCAATCTTATCTCTTATACTTAAATCCAACGATTTATCTAACGTGAATTAGACATTGATCCATGGAAAACGATTATTGGAAATTAACACTCTCTCTATTTTAATTTTAAAAATTAACTTTCGCTTCTTTGATTAAATTACATATAGGAATCACGATTTTAAAAACCCCTTTAAATCCATTAAATTAAATTTACACGAGAATCTTCTGCAGTCTCCATCCCTCCACGAATCAAAGAGTATTAACTCTGCTTCCCTGTTGATTTTAGCCAAAAAGAAGAAAAAGAAAAAGAAAAAAAATACGTATGATCTCTGATATAGTTCAAAGACGAGTTTTTATACGATTTTTGTACGACGTTCCGCATATATTAGATCGTATATACTTCTTTGTTTATATCTGTGACACATTTTCTTTTTCTGGATCACTTCAAAGATTCCGTTCGTAGAGGAACCCGGAGATGTTTCGTTAACCCAGATGCAGGTACATGTATACACACACACCTACGATAAATTGGTTAACGATTTGATGATATTAAATTTCTGGAATCGGCGATATAATGACAATAAATTACGAGAGATGATGGAACGGGAGCGAGGAGAGATATTCCACGCGATGGGGACAAAATATTCCGCGGTGAAATCATCCTTGATCCCTTTCGTTCCTCGAATTCTTATTCTTATCTCGATCCATCGGCGCAACACAGTTCTGCATCAATGTACATTGCATCATCTCATCTAGGAAATTTCCCTATCTGGCGAACGATGTCCTCGTTTGTTCAATATTTGTATTCATTATTTATGAATTAACAGGGCAAACAAAAGGGTCAGAGCGGAGAAAAGGTGAACTGAAGAAGAGGAAAAAAAAAATCCAACTAATTCAAACACGCTATTCCTCGAACTGTATTATCGTGGAAATTTTTCAATCTTCTTCGTTTGTTTATAAATCGGGACAAACATTGATTGTCAGATCTGTGAAATAGATCGTAAAACATTGATCGAGTTTCATCAAGTGATAAACAAATTCTTGTTTCATGTATTTAATTATAATATATTTAATGTTTATAATATTATAATAATTTATATTATATAAATAATTTATAATATATTTAATGTTTTATATATTTAATTTTATTCTTATCTAGTGGTTATTTCTCTGCAGTGACTGCGGAAAAGAGATAAAAATTTGCGGCAAGTCGTAAAATCGTGTACCCCCATTCCTCTGTTTCCATCGAAAAGTCTATTTGCGCCGCCATCGTTAAATCGTACGTGATCCACCGTAAAACTGATAATAGACGTCGATCGTTCGAAAGGTCGATTCTGTTTACGATCGTGGCACTCACACGTTGACGAAAAATTTGGGACGAGGTCGGTATAGCCAACGATAACCCAGTTTCTAGAATTTCTTATCATTGCCATAATTATTTTTTGCACCTCAATTTTGTAATATATCATAGCAAAGAAAATGGAATCGAAGTTGCGTGCAATTTTTATAAATAAGAAAAATTTTCTGTTCTCCTGGAATTTTCTTTCCTTTTTCTTTCTGCATCTTGTGAGGTACGTTTTAAAAATATTTTAAAAAATACGTTTTTTAAAAATATTTTATTTAACTTTATATTTCATATATTTTGATTTTACCGTATGACGTAAAAAAATTTTGTTTAAAATTTTCGACAAAATTCTCGGCATAACCTCCAATTTTAATTTTTCCAGAATCTTTGAGTGGGGGTCTGTCTGATCTGCGTCTTGTTTCGCGTTTTAAGAGTTCGATTCCGAGTAAACCCGAATGCCGAATCGAATACTCTCGGATTTATTTACCCAACAAACCCTAGCTTGTTTTTTCGAATCGATTCAGAATTCACCTTTCTGTATTCTTTAAGCTAAATTTCTAATTCCGATTATATATCAATAATATCATTGTATTGCAACAATTTCGAACACTTTCTATTTTTGATCTTCAAACGATTAAAAAAAAAATCGTTCGCGAAGAGTTTTTCAAAATCAAATTTAAATAATTAACTCTATCTAGGCCACGATTTCGCTCTACGTTTAACGTTTCATTCTCCTATCCGTGGAATATCGACTTCGATTTATCATTATTCGATCGATCGAGCATCGAGCATTTCCTGTTCCATCAAAATAAAATAAAAAAAGAATTTCAATCGAAAATTTATTTTCACGCTTGACAATGGAATTTCGTGTGTCATCATGCATAATCGATTCCCTCTTTCCTCGTATAGAGAATATATATATATATATATAACTTTCACATAATCACCGTCTACCGCTTTTGTATGCTAATAAAGGCGCTTCCTGGTCAGATGCAGCCAGCAGGTTAAGCACGCCTCTCTCTCGAGGTCTTAGAATCGTCCCCGAGCCCACGCGTACCGGCTCGGAATCGCTAAATGCGATGCCAACTCCTTATTTAGCCCGCGACAGTGGCCAATCGTTTGTTTGTTTGTTTTAGCTAAATGGGGGTCGAATGTTTAAATTAATCCTGATTGCTTGATTCTACCAAGATCTTGATAAATTTCTTGATAATTTTACTTGAAATTCTAACAAACAATTTGAAATTCGGAATATTTTAAGCGGAAGAAAATTTATTTTCACGCCCACCGCTGATGTATTACAAAGTTAGTTATTATCATTATCATTATTATTACAATTATACGTTTTATTATCATAGTGATATAATTTGAAAATTGGGCACGGATTACGTTAAATGATATTAATTGTTTCACCTTCATTTAACAATTTTCTCGAGCCTTTTTTAAACAATTAACAGCCTTCTAATCGAGTCGGTGCTAATTGATTTTTTTCCAGAATCAATTTCGTGGATTCAGTCTTCGAAAAAAATGTCTGAAAGATCAATCTGTTCGAGCCAGAAAATAAACAGACAATTTACATTTCTCTAGAAGATAATTTGTTTTCATTATCATAAACAAATCAAAATATTCTCGTGCGTGTGCGTGTGATAATAAATCACACATAAATATTTTTGATAAATCAGAGATTAAGGATTAAAAGATTAAAAAAGAAAAAAAAGATTAGATTATTATTATTAGAAATCTCATTTTATAGAAATCTTTTTTTATATGTCTGTTCTATGATGATTATACAAAAAAAATGAATCATTCATGAACTGACCTTAATTTGTGATATTTATAGCTTCTCTCAGACATCGACAAATGGGGCATCGATATCTTCAGGATAGGCGAATTAAGCAACAACAGACCGCTGACCTGCGTCGCCTACACAGCCTTCCAGACCCGGGATTTGCTCAAATCGCTGGCCATACCACCCAAGACCTTTGTGACCTTCATGATGACCCTCGAGGATCACTACGTCAAAGACAATCCCTTCCACAATAGCCTGCATGCCGCCGATGTGACCCAATCTACTCACACTCTGCTCAACACACCCGCACTCGAGGTTAATATTATCATTTATCGTTGATAAAGTATCCATAAATAACAATACGCTTAACTCTCTTCTATCGGTAAAACAAAAAAAAGAAAAAAAAAAAATTCTAATCGACAGATCGTTGTTTCAACGCTGAAAGAGTGTGTTATTATTTACTTGATCCGTTAAATGCCTTGCCTCGTTCAGAATTCATATTAATTGATAAACTTCTGAACTTGGATCGATGTTGTGGATCAATGTCGACTGATGGATTAATTGAAACGTTTCCGCATGATTGCAGTCCGTGTTCACGCCGTTGGAAATCACAGCCGCTCTGTTTGCAGCCACCATTCACGACGTGGACCATCCTGGACTCACCAACCAGTTCCTTATAAATTCGAGTGAGTATTTCATAACCTAGACTCACCTAGACGATTCAATAATAATTATTTGTAATCACTATTGGGTATTGAGAGATTTGATTGAATATAGAATAAGAATCAAAAAATCCTGTGTTATAGGCTCCGAGCTCGCCCTAATGTACAATGACGAGTCCGTTCTGGAGAACCACCACCTGGCAGTGGCGTTCAAGTTACTTCAGAACGAAGGCTGCGACATTTTCGTGAACATGACGAAGAAGCAACGCCAGACGCTTAGGAAGATGGTAATCGACATGGTCCTATCTACAGATATGTCCAAGCACATGTCTCTGTTGGCCGATCTGAAAACTATGGTGGAAACGAAGAAGGTGGCTGGTTCTGGCGTGCTTCTGTTGGACAACTACACGGACCGAATCCAGGTCCTGGAGAACCTGGTCCACTGTGCCGACCTGTCCAATCCTACCAAACCTTTGCCTCTCTATCGGCGATGGGTGGGTCTGTTGATGGAGGAATTCTTCCTTCAAGGGGATCGGGAACGCGAGCAGAACATGGATATAAGCCCGATGTGTGACAGGCACAGTGCCACTATCGAGAAGTCGCAGGTCGGCTTCATAGATTATATCGTGCACCCTCTCTGGGAAACCTGGGCCGACCTGGTACACCCGGATGCTCAGGATATCCTGGATACGTTAGAGGAGAATCGAGACTGGTATCAATCTATGATCCCTCCGTCGCCGCCGTCTGATGATCAACAGCAACAGCAGCAAGGGAACGAGCAGCAATCCGATAGAATACACTTCCAGGTAAGAATCACTTTGTAAATTCCCCTACTTTCGAACACCCATAGAGAATCTAACCTAAATCGATTGTTGCTCCAGGTGACACTGGAAGAAGGCGACGAAACAGGTGAAACAACGGAAATCGGGGATACGGTTGGAGCTGCGAAAACGATCCTGGCGAGCGAGGAAGGGGGCGGTGAGACGGATGAGAACGCAGCAGAGGCTGGGATGTGACGGAGGCTCGCGGGTATTTGCAGAAAGCTCCACGAGAAGGTGCAGCAGACCTGGTGGCGTGTGCGTCAGTGACAGTTAACTCGCTGCCGCTGGCCAGGTCTCTTTGTGTCGACCTATTGACCTTTTGGCCAAGCTCTCCACTCCCCGGAACGGTGGAAGGTGTCTCGTCTCGGAACAGAAGGACGGAAAAAGAGAGAGAAAGGGGAAAAGTCGAACGAAAGAAAGAGAAACGTAACCGAATGAATGGAACGTCTAGTCGCCGCTAGTTCAGACTACCTCTGGAACAAAATGGAAAATGTCTTTTCTCACGCGTCATCAACAAGCGGGAAATCAGCTCGGAGGATCAGTGTCCAGAAGAAGAAGAAGAAGAAGAAGGATGCTGCCCATTGACGCGATCGTTCGCTCCAAAGCTGACGCGGGCCTCAGCAACGAGCGGCGATCATTGCGATCGATGCGTCTCGGCTGGTTCGAGGCGTCTACGATAGCGTCATCTACGATGGACCATCCTCGACGGACAGAGAATGTAGCATCGTCGTTGTTACCATTGTCGCTTCTCTCCCCACCCACTTGTTGTCGTTCGATCGCGTCCCTTCCCTCCCCCCAGATTGGCGCGTACCTGGCTCGAACGGAGGGCACGAATCTCTTCACCAAGTACCTGTATAATTACCCAGGCGGACGTGTAAAGACGATCGTCTTTGCACGATCTTCCTTGATTACTATATAATATAGAATGAGAAAATGTGAAAATGATGCGACTCGAGGGGGAAAAAAGGAGAAAAAAATGAAACGCAAGAAAGTCTCATCTCGCCTCAGTGATAGGATCCTATCTTGACATATCAATTACACGGTACAAACGGCTCCAGGCCGTAATACTTCAACGATTCGGAGGATCTTTTGCGCAGCCAGCTGACCCTCGGTCGATCAATGATTGGGCCGAATTTCTTTCGTCGAAGAAAATGTGTCGAAAAAAAAAAAATAAAATTTGTTCGAGTTGGATGGTCGTTTCTTCGTCTCCAGAAATGCTGTGCAGAGAAAGAAGAAGAAGAAAGAGGACACGAAGTTGGGACAAGTGGAAGAAGGATGATAAGAGGATGATCGATGAGGAGGGTCAGGGGTTAGATGCCGATCAGAAGAAGACAGCTAGAGTAAACAGTAGTCGTCAGCGCTTTCTACGTTCATCCTTGGTTCTCCGATGATTGCATCTTGACAACTACCTAATAACTCGTCTAGAACTAAGCCTATCCCTAATCGTAAGACTTTCGTAATCATCGCTCGCCGACTAGAGAGCTTAGTAGAGGATGTTATAAAAGGGGATGAAAAATTGGGAGGAATCGCGTTTGTAAATATTGATGAACGTGATAGATGACGCCACTGGGCGGATGAATGGTTAATTTTAATATTAGAAGGCTGGCCTTTCCTTTGAGTTTATATTCAAATTACGGTAGATTCTGAAGCTTTGTTTTCGCATTCATACCACACTCACACACGTACACATGTACACACAAATAGACACAAACACATGCATTACACACATATATACGCGATCGTTTTTAACCAAAGAGTAATGTTAGTCACTACGTCGTTCGGGTAACGAACAGAAAGATCGAACTTTGAATTTTTTTCTTCTTCATCCTGAATAAACAAAGAATTTGAAAAAGCTGATATATATTTATATACATATATATATATCATATATGTATATATATATATATATATTTTAATCGAAAAAACACACGATGCGAATAAACAGCGAGAAATCATCGCGCGTTCTGGCTTCTAGCGATGGTAGATTATTTTAGGGAACTAAACGAGGTGAAGAATTAATTAGCTAGGTTTCTTGCAGTTCGATGTGTTAAAGAAACGAGACTATGAACCAAAAAAAGAAAACAAAAATGAAAAAATACTGAGAAAATATTTAAAAAAAAAAAAAATCGAGACAATGAAGTAACGAAGTACTCTCTCGCTTGGATGTCTGTGAATCGCTCAAATTTAAAGGATCGACGCTCGAGCATTAGCCGGAAAAATCACGTCGTCTCGATAATCGAGCGTCGATTCTTCGTCGCACTCTTTCTCGAAGCACATTCATCGAAATTATCACCCTAATATATTCTTTGTAAATTCCCATCGGATCTTGCGTTTTTCTACGATGCTTTTTATTTTCCTTTTTTATACAATTAATTAATAATGAATAAGAAGAAAAAAGAGAGAGAGAGAGAGAGATATCAATGAGACTCTCGTAGAACAGGAGCGATATTCGACTCGACGACGATAAGAAAATGGTTCCCTCTAAGCGAAACAAAATGGCCGACGCGCGTGAGTTGCTCGAGAAAGAGGCGAAACCCGTATCTGTGTCCGTAGGCAGTGAATCTAGTGAGTGTTTTTTGGTGCTGGCCACCAAGCTTAGATCATTAAGAATAATTTACGTAAGGCTACGAGTACACGACTAGATATTAAGCTGAGAAATTAACCTGTAAACGAAAAAAAAAACAAAAAAAAAGGAAAAAAAAAAGCAAGAAAAAGTTTTAAAAAAAAAAAAGAAATACGTAAGAATAAAAAAAAAAAACAAGCGAATCTTCTTTAGGGCGTAAGCGACCAGATAATTAATGATAATTAAACGTTTAAACCGCGAAAAAGACGATATGAATTAAACGAACTGACATGACGCTGTTCCATTTTGGGATCCCTTGAAGAATTCCGCTCGAAAATACAAATTTGAACGCGATGATCCAAGAAGTTCGAGCTAGAACGACCGATCGAACGACGGGAAAAAGTAAAAAGAAAAAGAAAAAAAAAAAAAAAAAAAAAAAAAAAAAAAAAAAAAAAAAAAAAAAAAATAAAAAATAAAAAAAAAAAAAAAAAAAAAAAAATAAAAAATAAAAAAAAAAAAAAAAAAAAAAAAATAAAAAATAAAAAAAAAAAAAAAAAAAAAAAAATAAAAAATAAAAAAAAAAAAAAAAAAAAAAAAAAAAAAAAAAAAAAAAAAAAAGAAAGAAAGAAAAAAAAAGGTAAAAAAATACGTATGATTTTCTTTTCTCCTTTTTATCCGTTTGTCTTGTGCCCTGATATCATTATATAGATTTAATTCCAAGATTTTCTTTACTACGATACTATCTACGATTTTGTTTTCTTTTTTTTTCTTTTACCCTCCTCCCTTGATTTCAGTTGAACTGAATCTATGATATATCGCAAGCTTCCTCTCGTGACTAATTACAATGTTTTAACGTGTATCGCAAGTTGTAACTTGTCGAGATGATGATTTTCATGAGGTGACTATGTGTGCAATTTTATTGTATATTTAAGAATTACGATCGAAATGACAATGGTGATGACGATGACGTGTATCAAGCGACATGGTCACGATGATAAGACGCTCATGATTGCGAGAGGTGACAGAGGAATTAAAGAGAAAAAAGAAAAAAAAAAAAAAGAAAAAAAAAGAAAAAAAAAAGATGAAATGAAAAATGAATACAACGTGTTTGATTGCTGGACAGTTAAATGAACATGTATTAATATCGTGTAACCCTCGTACGAGATATATGTGTAATAAAACATATTTATTGTCGGAACTTTGTTGTTCACCTTTTTTTCATCATTTACATATCTCCATAGATTTTTTTTTATTTTGTAATTTATAGAAAAAGAATTTTTTGGAAAAATTTTTTTCAATAACCTGTAACTTGAACGAGTAATTTTTATAAATTAATATTTTTAATAAATTCAATTTTTAATGATGAAACACACTTGGAAAAAATTTTCATTACGGTTTCAAAATGTTTTTGTACATATTCTATTCTAATAATTTTCAAATTATCTCACAAAATATAAAAACAAACGATAAAATTAGAAGAAAAAAAATAGATAATAAATTAAACAAAAAAATTTCGAAGGATGCAAAAATTTGTGAAAAAAATCATCCAAATATGATTCTTAAATTAGGACAGTCAAGGTTTATGAATAAAACCACCACAAACTCCCGTTTAATTATTTGTAAATATATTATTAAGTAACATCTATAATATAGTAATGAAAAACCATTTACATTAATAAGTATCATGGTAATAGTTCATGTGTGTATGTGTGTATGTGTGTGTATGTGTATGTATGTCTGTATATATTTTCTCTTCTTCCTTTCTTCAATCAACATCGAAACGTTATTATTGATCACGCAAAGAATCGTGGTTTTCACGGTACAAAGCTTGACGTTTCGAAAACTCGAAATTTGAAATATGATAAAATTCTCTTTTCTCTCTTGAGAATTACGGAGCGCATGAAACGCGTATTAATCTCATTTCTTTTTTTTTTTTTAAAGTTCCACTCTCAGGGTAACTTCCACTCCCCTTCCACTCTTAACTCTATCATGGTTCGAGATAACGCTGATATCTCCTCTTCTATTTTTTTTTTTTATTTTTTTCTTTTTTTTCTTTCGGTAAAAAATGTATCAGGCGTCTTTTACACGCGGCTATCCTTATTCTAGCGTGATTAGTACGGGTATATCAAGATGGTTGGTTGCAGCCTTAACCCTCGATCGAGATCTCAAAATTTATTCTTCAAAATTCGAAATGAACTTTCATCCTTTTCAATTTCTTTCTTTCTTCGTCGATTTTTCCTCCATTTGTAAGATTCGTGGATTCTTTTTTTTTTTTGCGAAATTTATTATTATTATTTCTCAAGAAATTAAAAGAAAAAATCGACGATGAATAGATAATTGATCGGTTTGATTAATTTTTTAAAAATTCTTTTAAAAATTTCTTTTAAAAATTTCTCAGCTTTTACTATTCTATTATAGTAGTTCAAATTTATTATAGTTTGAAATTAATATCACTATAATGAATGAGTGATAGTAATTTGCATAGCCATTGTGAAAAATTAGTATAGTTATTAATCAAGTATAATATAATCTAAAACTATAAATAGCAAATTCGAATTTTCTCGATCGAGGGTTTCAAAAGCTCATTCCTCGATTCTTCAATTTACAAAATCGAAATTACCATGTAAATTACTAAGACTAGAGACGGGTAGTAGTCGTTGTGTTTCGTTCTACAGGCAGTGTGCGCGCGACGAGGTTAGGGAACGAATTATTTTCAGTGCATTTTGTTTTTTTTTTTTCGAAATAAATTTATGAATTGGTGATAGGTGAAGATCTTTGAAATCTAAACAAAAAAAAAAAAAAAAAAATATTCTAATTTTAAATTTTTTAATCTTCTGAAAATGGCTACGATATTTCTTCTCATTTTTTTTTTTTTTTTTTTTTAATGAAATTTCATTTCGCAAAATATTTATAATGCTTTCTCTTTATGAAAAATTTGATGATGAAATACGAATTTTATTTGAATCACATGGTGTATCGTGACTTGTGCAATTGAAATTATTTTTATCTTCTTTCAAATATGATTATTTCTGATCATAGAGAAACGTTTTAAATTTCTAAAATTAGGAATGTAGTTATATATTGTATACTTAATTTAAATATTAGATTCTTTACTAATCGTTCAATCTTTGATCCTATCACCTTGAAAATAGTCCAAATCGTTTTCGAAACCATCTTTTTTTTTTCTCCCCCATTACGCACCTCCGCAAATACCTGTCTTTCGAATCCTCATTTACGATATAAACATCACTTTACATCATCGAAGGAACGCGGATACATTTCTGTTGCATTCGTCTCGGAACAGAATCATTATTTCATCGAACGTTTCTCTCTCTGTCGTCCAAGGATCATTGTAATTTCATCCATTATAT